ATGACCGAGAAGATGAAGCAACATCGTTACAAAATAATAAATGGTGGGCTCTTTTATAAAATACAAAAGTTTAGGATAATTTTTAAAAAATATAATAGTGATATTTTGGCCCAAAACCAGCTATTTTGGGACTTGGGATTTGGCCAAAATATAGGCGAAATCTATGGCCAAACATGTGTTTGCCAGATAAAACCCAAGTTTATTTTGGCAAAATCTATGGTCAAACGGGTCCTAAGTATCGTTGGTGCTCCTAATTTGGATTTCTCTGTTCCAGTAATTAATTATGATTTTATTTCATTTATTCCTGATGTGCTTATCAAGGTTATATATTGTTGGAAGCTTATATGTTCCTTGTTCTTTTGTATTCTCATGAGTAGCATTGAAATGCGATATATAGAAACAGACGGCTCCGGTAGTAAATTATTACTCAAGAAGTAAACATAAAGAGGATCATGCCAAAAAGAATCTTGCTTTGGCAGTTCTATTTAGATGGATAAATTGCCTAGATTGCATCTTATTTCATAAGAAATTAGAATCTATTGCAATTGTAGGCATCTATCTACCCTCTCTGAAGAGGTAAAAAATAGTAGTAGTTCCCCTTCATTTGTTTATTGTACTAATAAAAATATAAAAGGAAAATAAAAAATTCAATTTATTAATGTGCTATGGATATTGGTGATATCTCATATTTCAAATTTAGACATGTAAATGAGCAACATAATAGATAGTCTGCAGCTTTTATCGCATTGCAGTAAGATTAGTGGTTAATTTTTCAACTATGGCTTACTGATCTATAGTAGCTATCAGCATTGTTACTCGAATTTAATTTGGACTTGTATAATTTCTGTATAAGCTACCTTGGTGAATTCTAATGTGATTTTCTTTGTTAGGGCAGAACTGAAGAATCAGAGAACCGAAGAGATGATGCTTTAAGGAAATTGCATGAAAGAGACTGGACAACATCTATTGCAAACAATTGCACATGTCTATTTTGACTGAAACTTCTTTCGTTGACGATGTTTTATAATGTAACTTCTTTTGATTCTTGGGCACAAATACGAGGGAGCCAACATTTTTCAGTAGTGCAAAGTCGTTGCAATACAGGATATGACAGTCGTCAATCAGGATATGTAAGTCTATTTGTTTATGGCGTAAAGTGTAAACAAGAGTAGAACACATGTGTTTCTTTGATATGTTATCATGGATTCCTGTAGTGACTCTATTGGGCCCGTGCATAGCACGGACAGCATCATCTATCTAGTAACTATATAATAAGTGCAACTTCATTCGGACGACGAAGGGTATCTCTTGTTAATTTAACTTTAAATATGGGTATTATGGTAAATCCGCCTCTCTTAACTTTCCAAGACATGGTAACGTGTACAATTGTAGCGATACCCGCGTCACTTTACTTCTCAAACGATCTTTTGCCTTTTCATAGCACTTTCGTGAACAAAGACTTGGTTTCATTTCTCACTCTCTCTGCTGCTATTTTCGATGTTCTTCTTCCTCATCTGTTTTTGCTCAGTTTCTTATTTTCTTGGTTTTTAATCTTCTGGTTTCCTTTTGTTTTATTATTGTGTGTAATTTGCTTCTCTTATTCTTTTTTCAATTTTCAGATTCAGATGTCTCATAACATTTTCTTCATATGGTTTAAATTTATGTATTTATCCAACTTTCTCTCTTCATTTTTTCTTTGCCTTCTCTATTTGAATCTGTCTCCATTTGTTTCTTACTTGATTTTTCATTTTTCCTCTAAGACCATATGGATGTAATTTGGTGCAACTTCTAAGATTTGATGCATGTGTTTGCAGGTAATTGAATTTCTTCATGTTTTTTGAAGGTTTCAGTCTGTTCTTCAAATAAAGTAAAATCTCAGCCTTAATCATCCCTATAATGTTAATGGATATCAGTCTAGGTGTTTTAAATTTTCAGATAACGTCATATTGGTTCTTGGCTCTGCGTTCTGTGTAGTACGTATCACTGTTGTACAGTAAAGCAAAGCTTATTTTTTAACTGCCAGTAGACTGAAAGAAAGATATCAAAACAGAGGATGATCTTCTAACATAACTTTACAGCATCTGTCTAATGTTACGGCATTTGAGAAGTTTGGATCTTTTTTCTTTTTTGAGCTTATTTTGGAACAAAATTGAGGGGATATTTTCTTTCCTATTTCTGTGAGTTGATTGAAAAAGCACTGAACTAGAGTTATTCCGTTGATTTGTCTATATTTTCTGGATTAATGTGCTCCTATGACTCATGTTCTGAAGATTGATTCTTATTGGACTTTGGAGGTATGCCTTTTCTATTAGGTCCTTCGAGCACTTAACATTGTTGGTAAGCTCGGTCATTGTCTAATTTTGTTTATACAATAGTAATTCTAGATATATGAAGCTCAGAAAGCAGATGAGCAGTCATAGTGTTGATTAACATGATAGACTAACAGTCAAGTATATTCATAGAGTATAATAGGTGTGGATCTTATATGTGCAAAATTTTGCGTGATTATTGTAGCACCTCAGTCATTTATTTTTAAAAACTAGGTTAAAGTATTGACCCACTTATTCCTGCTTATCTTCTTCTGCTTTTCACTGGAGCAGGAAGAAGAGGAGAGAGGGTAAATTTATTAAGTGAAAACTTCAGCTGCTCACTAATTGGCAAAAAGGAAAGAAAAGCAAGTCAATATTCTTGTACTAATCATATTGGCAATTGATATTTCGTTTCCATGATCTAAGCTGCCTGACCATCTTTCTATAAAACTCTTCTTGTTTACAAGCCGGTTTGACTAGATTTTTATTACCTAAAAAATTTATTGAAAAGTATCGTACGTCGTTTTATTAATTTATATCATCATATACATTCATAAGGTTCTTTTACCTTGTAATGTTGATTGAATTAGGGGCTGCTGTAACCATACTTTTGAGTGACGCATTTTATTGCTTCTTATTCACATATTTGGATGTTCTTATTTTGGACAGTGGATGATACCAGCGTTCCTACCGAGGCTGCAATACATATTCTGGTATTTTTTTCCATCGGCATGTTTATGATTGTGAATGGCATTTGTCATGTAAGTCTACCAATAGAACCTTTCCTCTCCCTCTATTCTCAATAAATATTGCATTGTTAATTTCTCTTTTATAATGATTTTGCTTTTGCGAATGGAAATGCTTCAACTACTTTTTGGGTGTTATATTTTTTATCTTAGACAGAAAGCAGTATTACAAAGTTCACTTGCTTAGTGAAATATGTTCGTCTTGTGGTGAGCACCCTCCACTTCCAACCAAGAGGTTGTGAGTTCGAGTCACCCCAAGAGCAAGGTGGGGAGTTCTTGGAGGGAGGGAGCCGAGGGTCTATCGGAAACAGCCTCTCTACCCTAGGGTAGGGGTAAGGTCTGCGTACAAACTACCCTCCCCAGACCCCACTAGTGGGATTATACTGGGTTGTTGTTGTTGTTGTTGTTGTATTTAAAGTGAATAAACTGATTTTGTCATTTTAACCTTTTCTGGTCTTGAGCAGATAGTTTTAGTTATATAATTTAACTCAAAACTTTGAAGGGAAAAGAAACTCAATGCGACACTCTATACTTGGGTGAAAAATTAACTCTTTATTAGCTTGATTAAAAGGAAGAATAACAACAGAATAACTGGTGCATTATGAGTTTGAGATCACATCATGTGATCAAAGAAACATTTTTTTTCTATTCTGGTGTTAGTACAAGAACTCAATGAGGAACATCTCATTATAACATCATAATGCAGAGAATGCTCTAACATACAAAATGCAACTCTTAAATCATTTTAGTTGGGAAAAAAAATCATTTTAGTGAATGTTCAACAATTTATGTTTTAAAAGATATCTAAATTTTTCTGTGTGGGGAAAGGAAGACAATGAAAAAAGCCACGGCAAGTAATGTCTCTAATATTGCATCATTCGCTTAGAGTTCAATCCTTCCTTTTCTACGCTTACCCTCTTTTTGTTTCTTTTATGTGCTTATATTGTTCTGTGCAGGCCCTGATTTTACTATTTTTTTTTTGTAGCATCAATTCTATTGCAAAAAAATTAAAGGTTGGGACTTATACAGCTGAATGCTATGTCCAGACTAATCAAAGAAGAAGTTAAAAGGGAAGCTTGCTCTTAGAATTATATAAATGTTAAATGTAATGTTAGAAAAGTATCCAAGTGAGAAAAACATCAGTAGACAGATACTTACCATCGCTCAGAAAGATGAGCGAAAATCCAACCTAAGAATCTACTAATGGCATCTCTTCGAGCGCTATTTAAAAGTCGAGTAGTGGAATGGGAAATGTTACTGCATTTATCTGACCTTAGTAGATATTATATCTATAATTAGCATAAGAGAAACACAGACTCTTGAAAAAGTAAAATAACATTAAACTACTGGCACATGTAGAGTGCTTATTTTCTGTGAGAGTATCAAAATCACTTTTTATTGTTTGTGATAATGTTTTGTCCAAAAAATTGCAGGATGCATCTAAGAATGTGCTTCGGCTAAGTGCACTAGTTCTTGCTTTTTATTTGATGCGGATTCTATAAACTCTTTTCAAGAATTTACCTTGATATCAATGCATCAATTCTCGTCGTTCAATTTTTTCCCGAGTGCAATTATTCCATTAAGATTTGGAAGAGAAAAGTGAGAAACTTATCCAGTGGCTGACTGGAGAATATTCTTGTTTGATGAGGCTAGGCTTGATATCAAGAATTGATGAAGGAAACCAAGAGGCTCAGACAGTATTTCAAAACACATGGCTTTCTATCCTTCCTCATCGGTTGACTTAACTCGAGATAATGAAGATTTAGAATATTTTGCTGTAAGATTGTTTTGTGATGCTTGAAATAGCTGATTTCAGGTAGTTGCTAATTATTTCAATATGAGCACAGTTTGAGAATATTGCAAATACTTTCCCCGTGGTGTAGTATCATGGTAAAAATTATTTTCCCATTCATTATGATGATGTTGCTTGCTGCTCAACCTAGACTTTCCTTGGAATTTGGTTCTCTGGGAATAGTTATGTATATATTTAATCATAAAGTTTGTGGGCGACAGCCGATAGCCGGCGGTGACTTTAAACTTTTGGAAAAGTTAATTTATTTTTATGTTTCCAGCTTCCTTGTTTGTCAAGGACATGCTTTCGTGGTGTTGAACCTTTGTTGTGTTCATGTAGCTATGTTTGGCAATGCTTTTCAAGGATATTAGATAGTATGTCTTCAAGTGGTACAAACAATGTTTAGTCTTTATAATATTTGAAAGTTATGTTTTATATTTGAGCTCATTTGGAGTAGATTTTGATGTTGGATTGTTGAAATTCGAAGAATAAGTTCATGTTTTAGAACTTAAGATTTAAAATCTGAAATTATATTAAAGAGATTGAATTACTTAATATTTGAATTTCTAAAGTTGCATTTGAAAGATAGAGGAATCTTAGATTTGATTTTTAAAGTTGCATTTGAAATATAGAGGAATCTTAGATTTGATTTCTGAAATTGCATTGAAGATATTGAACTACTTGATTCGAATTCCCGAAGTTGAATTTGAAAGATACAAAAATTCAAGATTTACTTTCTGAAACTAGCATGGTATAACTTTAATAGTGGTCCCAAAAGTATGGCAAAACCTAGGGTGATTTGCACAAATAGAATTATTTCCACCGCCGTTTAGATTTTGTCCTTATTCAAGGAAGTTGAACAAAAATAACCTTGAACCTTGAAGTATAACTTTGATATACAAGTCTTGTCGAATTAACAAACTTGCTGTGTTTATAAGTTACCAAAAAAACTTATTTAAAAACTTGTTGTAGGAAATTTCTTGAAAAATGGAGCTAAGTTGAACCATCCACAAAAATAAAGGAATAAAATGCGTACAGCTTATGAATTACTGTCTATTATCTTTGTCTATATTTTATTTTTTTTGGTCATATTATCTTTGTCTATATGACTCTCTAGTAGTGTAGTAGATATGAAAAAGAAAAAAACTTTACTTAGAGACAAAGGCATAAATCACAATAGGGAAGAATTTCACCAATTAATCAGAGAATTTACTTTGCCTGTTTGTGTTAGATATAACTAGTATTAGCACCCCGCGCGGATGCGCGGACACTAACCATGTTAAATATTTGAGTTATTTGAATTATATGTAAATAATCTTAATATTTAAACTTTCTCGATAAATATAAATAATCATTGGATATTAATTAAGAAACACTACATAAAAATGATTAAACATTTCTCAAATCTCCTAGTTATAATTCAATTTATTTATTTTTTGGTACCATTTTCGCTGGTGTCATTGGATCCAAAAAATATTCAGGAAGCAAAATAATAACTCATATTTATGGAAAAACAATCAAAGGTTGAAACTATGAAGGACTCTTTGGATACGACTTGATACTTTTACTACTGCTTCAACTCTTATTTGGTGTGTTGATATTATTCAAAAATATTTTATTTTAAAATTTTAGTTTTTAAAACTTTATTTTTCAATAATAATTATTTTTATAATAATGTAAGTGAAAATATCATCCTTAATTCAAAACTCATTTTAGTCGGCTATCCAAAATTTAAAAAAATCGTTAGCCAGTGATTTTTTTTTTAGTATGACTTCATTTTGATATTTGACATTAACCATGTTAAATATTTGAGTTATTTGAATTATATGTAAATAACCTTAAAATTTAAACCTTCTAAATAATTATAGATAATCGTTAGATATTAATTAAGAAACACTACATGAAAAAGGGCTAATATTTTCTAATCTAGTAGTGATAATTTTATTTTTACATCATTCTTATTGGTGTCGTTGGAACCTAAATATAGTCACAAAGCGAAATAATAACTCGTATTTATGAGCTATGGCAAAAGCACAGAGGTTCACAATATGAACGCCTCTTTGGTTACTACATGACTCTTTTACTACGACTTGAATTCTTATTTGGTATGCTATTATATTTAAAAAAATATTTCTATTTTGAAATTGCAATTTCTAAAACATTATATATATTTCAATAATGATTATCTTCATAATGATGCAAGTGAAGATATTATCCTTAATTTAAAATCTACTTTAATCAGCTATCTAAAAATTTAAATAATTCTTTGACCGATAAAACTTTATTTCAGTATGACTCCATTTTCAGTTTATCGATATCTCTAGCCACAGATTTTTAATTTTGAATACCCTACATCTAAAAAAAATTTGTTCTTTGAATCATTAAATGTTAGATTAATTGATTGCTATTATATATTATTGCATATATTGTCTTAAAATTGCCAAGTAGTTTTTTCTTGACACTATACTTGGCCTAATCTCAATGTAAACTACTTAAATTGCATTTAAATTCTAATTCGAATATCATATCAATTTGTTGGTAATAGTGGTTTTTTAAAAAATGACACACAATGTAAATAAAAAAAAATTCTAATATATCTTTATCTTATAATCCATGTATTTGAGTTGAAAAAAATATTTGAAATCGATGAGATCGACTTCCAAATTTTTTACACTCAACAAATATGAAACATAAGAAGAAATTCGTTGTCGTCTCTTATTTATGGTTTTTAGATTTTTCATACAATGTTTTATATTTATTTTCTTTTATCTTATTTTTATGTCTTTGGTTGAAATTCTGTCATATTTTTCTTTTGGCTTTATTTTATCAACCTAAACAGGTGCTCACCCAATCACTTAAATTAAAAAATTGAGGATGTGTAATTTATATATAATTCATATATAACATGTGTATAATCGTGTGTTATCGGTATATCATCTATGTATATTAACTATAAAAAGTAAACAATAAATCTGGCCGGATATTTATGTAATAATCCATAAGATTTCTATTTCTTTATTTTATCCATGATATGACTTCTATTATAATTATTTTAAAAACTCTCTACTAAAATTTGTTTCTTTATTTTATCCATGATATGACTTCTATTATAATTATTTTAAAAATTCTCTACTAAAATTTAAGAATATCTTATATTTTATTTTAAAAATTATATTATAATTAAAAAAATAATCTCATTTCAAAATAATTTGTTTACATTTTAAAAATAACTATTCCACGTCATACCAATATTGTTTTTAAATATATTTTTTGTTACGCTTGAAAATCGCTATATAGAAACTATCAATTATAGAAATATTTCTTAAACAATTTAGATAAGAGTTTGTCCTAATCTTGTTAGTCTATAGTAGATTTTGTCATAAAGTCTATTTAAATTTTATTAAAAAAGCGCCAAATGGCTTTTTCTCAATATGCCACTTGGCTTAACGTTATGCTTCACTACCCTCCTTTTAATATAATATAGAAGATATAGATTATAGTTTTTAATTAATTTTTTGCCTCCATATTTCCAGATAATATAGAAGAAAATCTATGAGTAGATTAATATATAGATATAGATATAGATATTGATACAACTATAAATATATATATNCCATACTACCCTCCTTTTAATATAATATAGATTGATTGGAAGTCAGTGCAAGGTAATAACTAAGTTAAAGTTTTTTTTTCAATTTATTTTGAGCAACGTAATATTAGTAATTAACTACTAATACCTCCTTTCCAGTTTGTATATGAGCAGTGCTACAGCCACCTCTATTTAGGTTTAAGAAACAACGCCTTCTTTTAAAAAATAGTTTTATATGAAGACAGAAAATTATACTCCTATTCCCTAGTGAATCATTATGTTACCCTTTTTTTTTCCTTGTCCTTCTATTTTTATGATATATTTGTACCTTTTCTTAAAAATTAATTTTTTTAAAAATTGATGAAATGTTCTAGAATTGTTATTGATCTTTTGTTTGGTGAATTAAAGGATGTTTTTGAATTATAATTTCACTATAATAGGAGCTCTCAAGTGATTTATTAAACTAGTCGAAGCAATATCCCAAAACAAAATAGAGGTAGCAGTGACTTACCCTAAAATTCATTGCTAGTCTTATTGATTTTGTGAAATGTATATATTAAAAAACTATTAGAAAGGGAACAAAAACAAACAAGCATCTTAAAAATTGCGACTCAATAGAAAAAGATGTTGAAATTAAGTGCTTGTTTAGATCTAACACATGGACACTACTGATTAGCATAATTAAATGAAGATATGATTCGTAACTATAGAAGACGTGCAAGAATAATGTCAACCTTTAAAAAGAGGAAAGAGAGAATTTGCATTATTTTTTTCAATGGTTCTTAATGTAAAACATTATTCTCGTACTAGATGAAAAGCCTAGTGTGAAGAGACAAGGAAGAAATAATTTGAATTGTTCTCTTCCTATGATTCTTAAACTAAAAGCCTAATAAGATTCGGCACTCTTTTATTAAAGTAAAAAATTATGCTTTCATGTGAGGTATGCACATCAAATTTTCATAACAATAAAGTTATTCTTTACTTGCTAAAAGTCTCGATCTCCCTTGAAAGCTAAGTTACCCACGTATCCTAGGCCACAAAGTGACAGCTACTAATATTTTTAAGTTGCCAAATACGATGAGGAAAAAAGTGGAAAATTATCATCTTTATATTTATGGAAAATACATATGAAAGTAAATGCAGACACATAATATATATTTCAACTCTCTAGGATGTTAGCTTTATTCATCGTTTTTAAAATAAAATAAAAAATAAAAATTCACTCGGTCAATACGAAATTACTGAATTGCAATCAGTAGTCGCTACGATTCATAAATTAGAACTTTTACCCAAATAAAACATGATACTTTAGTAACTTAAAAGCTTTAAACTTTATAGGTTATCTTACTTGGGAAGGACTTCCCTGTGATGCGTTCAAAGGAGTCTATGGAATGCTAGGGTAACAGTGAATACCACGTCAAGGCTCCCTTCGTGAGGGTTTCTCCAAATTTATTTAGCAACACAAATTCAATTTCGTGAGGAGCTAAATCATTTTTCTTTACCGCCGTTGTGTAGGTGGTAATATGCTCCTAGGGGTCTGAAGTTGCGTCATACTTTGGCACATCAGGCATTTTGAACCGCTTCGGAATTAACTCTAGTGTCGCACTTGGCTTGTATGGCAATTGAGTATACTTTTTCGAGTCCGGACCTTTCAGCACTGGTGGTGCGCTCGGGATCTGGTCCATGCGGGCGTT